CACAAATCGAATTCTCTTCTTTCAATTCTTTCTTCATCTTCTCCTCGAATTGTCCGATAAACTTTTCGATCGATCACTCCAGGATGAACTCGCAATGTTTGTTCTTTCCTCTCATGGCGGTGGTTCAATTCACAGTTTTTTTCTTCTTGGTTCCTGAGAAAGAAGAAAAAATATATTTAATATCATATGCTTATCTTTGTTGAAAGCTAAACTCAATTTTCACCTTTGCTTCTAAACTAACTGCGTTTTCCGATACGTTTCCTTTTTTTATTCTTTATTGAATATTTTATCTTGCAGCTTGCTGATCGGAATCATTTTCTGTTTTGCCTTTTTCAATTCCCTTGCAGAACTTTTTCCTGATCACAAGTTTATAACAGATGCGGTATGCAATTACACTCACAGCATTGTGGAAATGCCGTTGCTTCGTTTTTCAGGTGCGTAATGTTGAATTAGTTTCGTATTTTCTTAGTTTTTTTTTCTGGTTCACAAATCTTTCCTTGCGAGTTATTGGAGTTTCTTTTCTTCACGATTCTTTTCTTTACTAGGAAGCATATTGTCTTGGATTTGATGTTACACTTTGAAGTACTGTTGGCAAACAATTTTGCTTCTGTACTTCAGTTAAAGAAAATTACTTTAATGTTTCTCGGTGAAATCTGTGCTGGCTTCAGATATGTTATTGCATGTACACTTTTCTTCTGTTTGTTTCTTTTGCATTTTTTCTTTTTCGGCACCAATTTATCATAGTAGTTCATAGAATAGTATGACGGAATACATATAGCATTTACTTTATGTAATTGTGTATATTAGAGGTCAAATATGCTTTCTATCTGTGTGATATAATCTTAGTGCTGCTGTACATCTTATGGCTTCTCCCGCGAACTGTGTTATGATTACCTCCTGTTACTTTTGTTATCATTTTGTGTTTTTGATCTAAAGTGATCTATACAACATCATGTAAAATACAGATAGCTAGATACATGATCAGCAAGAAAATGATTGATTTACCAGTTTAATGGCCTACAGTAGAAGTTGAACTGAAATACCACTTGGCGACCTAATTGAAATCTTGTAACGTCATGTTAACTGTTACACATTTCTCTGGAATATATTATTGTTAACTAGCTTTGTCCCTCTAAAATTGTTTAGTGATCATATTACAAGCAATTTACTGCGTGAAATGGATTGGCTGCCTAATCTACTTCTTTTGTATTTCAGCATTGTACTAACATAAATTGAGGATTTTTTTTGAGAGAAATGAAAATTCATCTTGCGTAAATGATTCCTTTAGTTTAGTCATATGCTTTTAAGATTAAAGTTTAGGGAATTGTCCATATTGAGGGATAGAATAAAGAGTTGTAGGATTGAAGGATGATCGTTATACACTGTATTGGATCTTATATATTGCTTAGGAAAGAAAAGATATTTTACCAACTAGTATTCTTATACTAGTATTATTGTAGTTCTTGTTTTGATATTTCAACTGTCGTACTATTTTTGTTGTCATTGTTTGTGTCTTATTTGTACCTAGATTTGTTGCACTTGAGCTGTGAGTCTTTCGGAAATTGCCTCTCTACCTCCACGAGATAGTTGTTAGGTTTGCGTACATTCTACCCTCCCTAAACCTCACTCGTAGGATTTCACTGGGTATGTTGTTGTTGTCCCCTCCTCACTGTGAACTTGTTTCTATACAAAAAAGTTTATTCACTATTATATTTAACTGCTTAATGTGTTTGTTTGACTCAATTTTGAGTAGAAAGATCTGAAAAGTCATATAAATGAAATTGAATACCTGTAGGGTTTATGGAAGATATTGCATAGGAGTGGGGGTTTTACCGTGTTTGCACCCAAAGGGTAGCGGCTGTTGGTTTTACTTGTCATAAAAAAAGGAGGAGGAGGATTTATCGAAGAATTCATGTTAGGGATTTAGGTGGGTGTTGTTATTATAGATTTAATTACTTTAGACGAATGCATATTAAGATATATATCGGTATTCTAGACAGAATTGCTAATGACCTCACTTTATTTACTTGATAAGAAGACTGATTCAAAGCCTGAGTGGGCGCATTTGTTTTTCTGAAAAGGAGAAAAGATTAGCTTATGAGTAATGTATTTTGATTTTACCTCTTCTTGCTGCTATATTATTTTTTTTTTGGTTATTTTTACTTTATATTTTAATCATAATTTTGAATAAGAACATCATTGAAATAAGAAAGATGATAAATATTTGACTTGAATATTTTGTTTCCAATTTAAATCTGTAAAAGTGTAACTTACGAAGGTGAGGGAGTGGATGTAGCCATATGGATTAAGACAGTGATTTATGAATCCACCACACACAGGTTCAAACTGTTGTTCACCTGTAATTTCAAAATACTTGTCAGTGTATGGACTGATATGACACTGTACACACATTGATAACTCCTCAAAGCTTTATTTTTGGAACAAGAAGGATTAATCATGAACGCTTATATCTCAGCTTGATGAATTTTAAAGTTTAAGTGATCATTCTATATTTGCTGTATTTGTCTTTAGCTCACTAGCAACCTTTCGCTTGAAAGTTATCACATTACAATAACTGCTTCTACCAAAATACTTTCTTATGTTGCCTCCTATTTTGGTTACTGACCTAGGTTTACTTTTGTGAAGGTTAGGGCAGAATGTTCTTATAATTTGTTGCTTGAGATATTATTAAAAATAATTAGTAATAATTTGAAACATTAAGAAAAGAACAATTTTTCTCATTAAAGTCAAAAAAATATGAAGTCTTACTTGAAATTTGATTTGGCTGTGGAGAAGGGTAGAGGGGCGGGCCCATTATCCACCGAGTTTAGAAGGCTGTGATTGGTCCAAAGGACGGGTCACAGACGGATTTCTCGGTTATAAAAAAAAATTGATTTGGCTGTTGGTCAAATGAAATGGTTGTAGATTAATAATAACGTAAGACATAACTTAAAGTAACTTGTAAAATATTAATTATTGGAACATATAAATATTCCTCATCTTTAAAAACCATAAACCATAAGTTATTGAGACTCTTGTTTTTATAAAATTAGATAATGGTTGGCAAATAGAAAATTCAATTGTTTATGCAACTGGTGAGTTTCAAGGTTTCAATAATACTTTGTTTTTGTTGTGTTAAACCTAGTCTCATTTTGAGATGGATTTCTACCTCATAGATTTGGTGGCTAGTGAGCTATGTTAGCATTTTGGTAAATGACGGATCAGTTGGTCCTAGTTGAGCTAGTCCAGTTTCCATTCCACAGATAGTTCTGGATGTGATTGAAAGCTTTAGTGCATTCATTTAATCACATCCTTGTAAAGTGCATCATAGAAGTTCCAAGTGATCTTATATATTGCATAACACTTCCTCTGCTTTATAGTATGAGGGTCAAAATACCTAATTTTCAGTGTGGATTTAGACATAGATTCATCAAGAATTTGACATAAATTTTACATAGTTGAAAACTGTAAAACAAGTGCGGTTGGTCACAAAAGTTAATAGATCAAAATATTTAGTAGATTTTTATAAAAGCTTGTCGTAAAAGAAAAACCTCTGACTCCCCCAAAAGTAATAGTATCCCCTTAGGTAAATGTGACAGAGTAAGTATTAGGTTTAGAGGACCCTTTTGTTAATGTGTCAGAGGAAGTTTTAGGTTCAGAGGGAAAAAAGAAACAAATTTGATACTTCTGTTACTGATATAATTCGGTTATAGTTAGTCTTGTTAATGCAATAAAGTTGACTTGTTACCATATTGTTTATACAATAGATTCACATGACTTAACTGTGAATATGACTTATAAGCAAAATAAGATGGTTATGATAGACATCGAAATAACAAGTTCATAATAACGAGGAAGAGGAGAAAAGTGTCGTGTATGTTCACCCAAAGATCAAGGCAGATAAAGTGGGGTGCCTTGACTTAGGATATTACTCAGGAGTTGTGGAGAAGTTGATAGCAATGGGGACCTGGAGGAGCAGTGGGGACGTGAGTAGCATGTGGTCGATGACTGCGACTTACATTAAGGGACCAGCTAGAGTGGTGCTAGAGATCTTGAAGGGTTACTCCAGTGGACACAAAAGAGGATTGGTGGTGGAATGAAGAGGTCCAAGGAAAAGTGGACGCCAAGAAAGCAGCATATGTGAAGATAGTAGAAAGTAAAGACAACGAGGAGAAGAGGGCGAAATTAGCAGTTAAGGCAGCGAAGACTGCAGGGGTTTTGGACGTCTGTATGAAGTACTTGGGGACATAGGCTGGGACAAGCAGTTGTACATGACAGCCAAGGTGAGAGAGGAGAAGACTTGTGACTTGGAGCAAGTGAAGTGCATCAAAGATGAGGATGACACGGTATTGGTGGATGGGACTCTTATTAGGTGTAGATGGCAGACATACTTCCATAAACTCTTGAACAAAGAGGTGTGTGATCTTGGACACTCCAAGAGTCATCGAGATTTTGGGTATTGTCGGCGTGGAAAGGTTTATGGTTCACCTACCTTAAAGCAATGTCACATTTTTGGAATGGTTGTAGAAGGTTAAACCATTTATGAAGTTCAAAAGAGTTTGTGAAATTTAAAAAATATGGGGAAAGAAAGCTTGGAATCACCTCATACTATATTGCAAGGACACCTCAAACTGGAAGTTTAGGCAGTACAAATGATGTTTAGAGATAAATTAAGTACACTATTTCCATGCCTGTCCCATCAATAGGGTAACTTATTAATGCTATGGTTGTAACAGTGCCTACTAGCATATTTACCTTTCTGTAGTTTTATTTACTTAGATTGGACATATTATGTTGCTAAAAGACAATTTGGTGTTTGAGAGAGTACCATGTCATCTCACTCAAATGTGGTGTTATAGATCTTTGCTGTGTGGAAGAGGCTATCCTTGTCCAGCTTGTTTGGAAATTTTTTGATCTTTTTACTACGTTGATGAAAATTGTTATTTAGCTGACATACTACTGCAGTAACTCTAGATGATCTATTTTTTCTCTCGAGTCAGGCCAGTTTCCTCAGAATTTGTTCGTTCATGCAACTTTAAGAACCTTACTGCACCACATGGAGATGTGAGAATCATCTTCATTGTTATCCAGGTGCTAGTCAAAATGGAACCTAATCTCCCCCTCTTTTGTGTCTATTTGTCTTGAACTGAGAATCTTGACCAAAGGACATTGTTAAATTATGTCTTGTATTCTCACTGTTTGAAATTGCTGCTGCTGCTGTTATTGAGCTTTGGTTGTAATAAATGTTCCAATCAGTTTAAGTATTGGCATTGTAGAAGGTGCTCTATCGTGCTCTGATGATTCCACTAAAATCTAAAACAAATCTTCTCTTTTACAGTTTTCCAGAATTCCTAAATTAATGGTATCATATTCTTTTGTAGTATAACATAGCATGCTTGCAGTTTTGCTGTTCAAACAGATTCAAATTTCTAGTTTTAATTCCATTTACCTTGTCAATACTTAGTACCTGACGCACTAAAGTTTGATAACTTCCATGGAGTTTATGCCTTTTTAATGTCTTAGTCCTATTCACTACCTAATAGCCCTTCATTCACTTTTTTTGTCAATGGTAACAGTTATTCCTTCATTTACGTTCTTGTAAACTATCTCCTGATAGAAGATGAATAATCTTTCGTGGTGAAGACTACTCCTTTTAGATGACTATGTTCTGTTTATGTGTACTCTCCAAAGTAATACGAAGTTTTGCCTACGATGGACTTTATGCTCACACACATCATGGCCTAAACATGTTTCTTCCATGTTAATTTAGTATGCAATCCATTGCTGTACAAATAGGTCATTTGATGAGAGTCTGTCTTCTGTAGTATAGAAAATTTGGCTGTTGATAGTGCATGTCATTCGTGTAGGTTTACCATTGGAATCCTTGTGATCCAGAAATAGCTTGTTTAAGAGCACTTACCGTCTTCGGCAGAAAAGAATGTTTGTGGAGCATGCTCCTCCGTATATTAGCTGTTACTTGAGCGCGAGTGTCTTTTGGAAACAGCCTCTCTACCTCATGGAGGTAGAGATAACGTCTGCGTACAGTCTATCGACCCGGACCTCACCTATGGGATTGCACTAGGTATATTGTTGCTGTTGTTGCTTCATATATTATTTGATCATCCATTCAAAAATTTCTGGGAAGAGCATTACTAATACAAATTCTTGTTGTATCTTTTTTGTTTAGCACTTAAATTTGAAGTTCGACGCTGGTGTGAAATGAATTTAATCTGTCCCTTGCTAAAGACTATTGCACGCAAAGCATATTGATGCAACAATGCGGTATGGCTTACTTTATTAAGTTTCTTAGCTCTGCTTTGTACTGTTTGCTTGTGGTGTGTTTCTCAAGGAATTTCTTTGAGGAGTTACTGTTATGTATATCCTTTTTCTGATTGCATTTCTTTGCTCCCACCCCTGTTTTAAGTAGTCAACTATTTATAGCTATTTGAAAACGTCATCAAGTACAATCCTAGTATACAGGGCATACACATCATAAGCATGAAGTGCCAAGAAAGATAAAGATATGTAGAGGTACTGTGCCAATGTATTCCTTTATTTGTTGTTATCTTACTTTAAGTAGTTGTGCTAAGGATTAGCTCACACTTGTCAAACTTGATGTCATAAACCTTATGAACTGAAGATTTTTTCCTGACATCTCTGGGTTCTATATCATTACTACCATTAAAAATTAAAACATAGCTCTGTAAGCACAGCTGCTTCTTCAACATGAGAACTGAAAACTCTTACGACTCTGGTTTTCACTGCGAATGCAGTTGTAGCCTGCAGCATTTTCCAGTAAGACGATAGTCAATGATCAGGTTAGTGAATTACCATTGTGCTTCCAGATGAAGCATATGAGCAAGAAATTACCCCAATTCGGTAGTTCCCGATGTCTCATAGTTCTGTTGCTGTGGCTGGCTAAGCTGGAGATGAACAGGAGCATGAAGGTCCTCATTGATGCTTAAACTGTTCGCAACAAGGGGACTTCTGCTCACTCCATTTGCATCTCTATTTCCATAAATCTGTAGTTTAACACAATGTAGAAACAATTTGCCAGAGTTCTAAAAAGAATGGTTCCCTCTTTCACTTGGTATAAGAAAACAAAAGGAAATAATTGATCTTGAAGCATGTGAAAGCTTTTAGTGATGTACATTGATACCTTCTTACACAATTCCATATTTTCTTGACGAATTAGGTTTACCTTCTTATATAGGTCCATGTTTTCCTGATGAATGAGGTTTCCCTGCAAGGAAAAATATTAATTTAGTATCTTGAGAAGTTATACTTTTTAGAATAAATTTGTAAGAGTCTCTGCATTTTATGTTGATTGACCTTTCGGTTTAGTTCTTGTATCTCATCAATCAGAATTTCGTCCTGTAGACATGTGGGGGTAGAGTTAGTTTTTATTTATTTAAAATATAGTGAACATTTGTTGGATCTGGAAATTTCATACCTTTCTTACACGAACACCATGGAGACTCGTTTCCAGTTGGTTCTCCAAGTTCTGCAAATCTTTGATGCTCAGACCAGAAAGCTCTTCACCCATCATTTGTCTATATTGCAGAAATAAACTGTTAAGAAACATGTGATTCCAACAGAGAAATTGACAGTTGACTGTATGTGACTTATACATCCTGTCTTAAACAACTGTGACTTCTCGTTTCTTGGGGGGGTGGGGAGTGGGGGGGGGGGGTGATGTTAAACAGCTTGATGGTGCTCTGGAAGAAATTTATAACACCATTTGAGGTGTGCTTATTATTGGATTTTCACTCCCCAACATTGAGCTGCTTCCTGGGATTATATAGTGAAGACATCTTTACAGAATCCTCCAGTGAATTGCATGATTCACTGCAGTTCAGTTGACCAAAAAATTTGAGAAATATTTTCTTTAGGAAAACAATCTCCTTGAAAATATGGAAAATGACCCTTCGGGGTTGGCCAGTGGTTTGGGCTTGGGACTTCCATGTTGGAGGTCTGAAGTTTGAAACCCCTTGCCAGCGAAAGCAAGGGGTTTGCCTTCTGGATCGAGCTCGTCGCACCGGGCTTGCCTAGTGCGGGTTACCTCTCCTATGTGGTTTGCAAGCTATTGCATAGGAGCGGGAGTTTTACCCTGTGCGCACCCAAAAGGTAGCGGCTTCGGGTTTCCCTTGTCATAAAAATAATAATATGGAAAATGACTTTCCTAAGGAAAGTAGGAAAAACAAATCACATTGTCTCCTCACAACCACCCAGCCCACCCCTGAATCCCTCCACCCCCACCCTCATAGAGTCATAGTTTTGTCTTAGATATATATAGAAATACTTTTAGCATTATAAATTTTTACTTGCATACCGAACACAAGAAATAAACAAGAAACCACTTGTTCTACTAGAAAATGTTTTCCTCCATACCAGGCACACCCTAGAAGTCCATGCTAATACTTTAATTCATAAGACAGACTGAATGTTGTTTGATCCTTCAAAACCCTGATCTGAAGGGTTACAACCATGGTCCTGAGTGCCTCTTCTTTTTGATTGTAAAACCAGTAGCTTGAAATAATGTGAGTATCCTTTCTGTCAGCACTTACAGATATAATCTTTTTAAGGATAACCTAGAGCAGATATCTCTGTCATATTCTATTTTGTGAACTGATGCTACAAGCTATCTAGTGTCACTTGCTTTTTTCCAGCAAGGTGGTGATAGTTTAGTTCTTAGTTTCATGCATTTTCTTGTGGTTGGCTTAGGATGCCTATACTGTTGAAGATATTGAAGGAACATTCCAAACGGCATCCTTGATGAGACACCTTTTGTATCACTACTAGAACTATCCTTTTCTCTCTTTCTACTGCCCACTGAACATAGAAAAAGAAAACTGGGGTGTGGGTGTTGGGTACTGATAGAGCTATAGAATTGAAAGACAGATAGAAATGAGAGGAGAGAAGAGGAGGTACATTCAATTTTTTTTGTTCTTCAAGGGTTTTGAGGGACAGGAAGGGAGAAGCAGAGAAAGGAGAGTTAAGTTCGTTAACAAAATGTTCTGTCAAAAGCCCCCAAGGCCTAGCTCAAGTGGCAAAAGATGGAGGATTTGTGGCTTAGGTCGCAGGTTCAAGCCCCACACCATGCAAAGCGAAGCCCGGTATTTAAGTGGAGAAGGGTAGAGGGGCGGGCCCATTATCCACCGAGTTTAGAAGGCTGTGATTGGTCCAAAGGGCGGGTCACAGACGGATTTTCGGTTATAAAAAAAAAATGTTCTGTCAAAAAGTGAGTGAAACGAAGAAAAACAGGACATGTTTTAACGGAACTTCTGTAGTGTCAAAAGAAAGCTCAGGATTATGAACAAAATAGCTATCACGGGAATTAGTGTCAATTAATACACATTTCTCTATTTCCTCACTCCATCCATTTAAAGACAGAAAAGTAAAACCCTCAAATATTACCTTTATTCCCCCCAACCCCCAAAAAATAAAAAGAAATAACACCGTCAATCCAAAAGATCACAACAGTTAGATATTTTAAGTAGTGCAATGGAGGAGATATTTTATTTTGCCTAGTAACATTGTTGATGAAATCAACGTATACTAATGTTATGGGAAAATTCCTACCTAAAGAAAGAACAACAAAAACAACATGCCCAATGTAATCCCACATTTGAGGTCTAGGGAGGGTAGAGTGTAGTCAGACCTTACTCCTACCTCTTAGAGCTAGAGAGATTGTTTCCGATAGACCCTCGGCTTAAAACAGAGCATTTCCAAGTAGTTTGAAAAAAGAAAATACAGAAACGAGCAGTAATAACTATGAAATAATGTGAATTGGGAGTATTTCTGTATTTTCTTTGCATGTATGGTGATCCAAGCAATAGGTCCTATAAAATTCCCCCCATTCTCTATAATTGTGGACAATTATTATGTTACCATTTCAGAAAATAAAAAAATTGTCGACAACTGTTAATATCTGTTGGTTGAAAGTATTAAAAATGATCAGAAAACTTAACACAATCAATGACTCTACCCTCTCTATTTCAAGACATTGATTCTAGTTTCAATAGCCTCCCCCCCCCCCCCCCCCACCTCCCACACGCACACAACAAAACCCCTCTCCCTTTTTAAATTTGTCGCTTTGATGGGTAGTTTTCAAAAAAGTATATATAAATTGTCACTTAGATAGGATCTCTCCACATTTTCCCAATATCCTCTAAAGAGATGCTCAATATGATTGGTCCTCATTATCCCATTTAATAACATACTTGTCGATGCAGTCACTGGCCAGTTGTGGAATCTGTTCTTGAGACGTAAAAGCATCTCCTGGTCCATGCCTGGGAGAATTTCAGAGGCTCTATTTAGCTGGGAAGAAGCAGGGATACAAGCAAAAAACAGAAGTAACTGGAGAATTGTCCCTGCCACTATTTAGTGGACAATATGGAAAGAGAGGAACCTTAAGAGTTTTTGAGAATAGGGAGAGTAGTATGCAACAAGTTAAACTGAATTGCATTTCGACCCTGTGTTTTTGGTGTAATCAAATTTACTCTAATGATACCGTCTCTATCATTGATGTCTTAGACATATTATAGGGATCGGTCGGTATTATTAGAGTTTCCATATGTAAATACGGGTTTCAGTACAACCTATGTACTGTTCTGCAGAAATAGAAACAATTACCATTTTCAAAAAAAAAACATACTTGTCGATGCCCACAACGGTTGTGTTCCATGTGAAACCCCAAACCAACTTTCCTGGTAGAGTTTATGAACATTCTAAAATCTCTAATTCCTAGTCCCTCAACATTAAAGTAGATAAGACCATTTCCAAGACCTAATACTAAACATCAATTAATAGGGGTTCATGTGAAACCCCCAAACCTACTTTTACTCTTCACCTTTAAGATATCAAGAAAAGACAATAAATTTTTTCCATGTCTTCCCCTTGGCATTGATTACATATTCCCGAATCATTTTTCAACACTTAATACTAAACATCAATTAATGGGGTAGTGTGGTAAAATAGCCATGTCAATTATTGTTTTCCTATTGGGTGTGCTAATTCCAAATGTGACTAGTAAAAGTGAATGAAGGGAGTAATTTTTACTTTAATGTCTTAAAACTTACAATGGAGACAAGAGTCCCTGTGTTTGTGCTATAGGTCATTGAATAAGATATTTGTGGAAGTAAGAAATATATCTAACATATGACAAGAGAGTTTACCGGTGATTCTCTTGCAAGTTCTGTAGTTGTTGCCTCAGCATTGCCGCTTCCCTTTGCCAAAACTGCTAACAGGAAATTATATTTTAATACATGGTTTTGGATTATCATAGGACAAACTAATGGATATTTCTGCATGCTTTGATAAAACTAGCTGTGAAATCAATAGGAAACCACGCCTAGATGCAATGGGTGACACTTAGATTTAAAGTGAGCCGTTCCCCTCCTTGTGGTCTGGGAATTAGATCCATATGTACCCTTAAGATTGTGTAACTTCAATTTAGAGTTACTTCCTTGAGATTGCCACAAGGCGTCATTTTTATATTTGTTGCTTCCTACCATTAACAATTTTGTTTGACAATATGCTATCAGGGATAAAATTATAAGCTATTGTTGTTTTGGAGGCCTTGAAGTTGATGGTCATAAACTATGATGTCTGGTACAGTAAGGAGTAATTAAATTTGATGTTCTGTAAATGATTAATTACAGTTGTACAAAAAAAAAATTAATTACAGCTGCGTCATAGTTACCCCGCTTGAAGATTGTAAAGCAGCTCTAGACGAGATTTTCTGTTCCTGGATTTGTGTACCATTGGAAGAGTGTGCTATGAACATGAGTGCAATACGTCATGATGGCAGTATTAACCCCCGAGCAGAATTCTTAGTTATGTCTTAAATTAGGGTTGTCTATCCAGTCTTATTATTAAAAGGAGTCAAGTGCTGCTTCCATGATCAATCTACCAGGAATTATCTTCCAATACCATATCCAAAAGCTCCTTGCTGTACCTGAACTTATATGTGAACATAGGAATGCTCTTTTTTTTTTTTTTTTTTTTTACCGTGGTTTCCGGGCGTCGCTTTGCGAACCCGACTAGCTGTACCCACCGGGTCCCGCTGTTTCAAGGCGGGTCCACCACGGTTAGTTCCACGGGGCCCTGGAGACGCGGCCGGTTTGTAATGCCTCCAGTGGCCCTGCTGGGGCTCGAACCGGCGACCTGAAGGACTTTGTCCCAGGCCTTTACCAGCTGAGCTACCCCTCAGGGTTAACATAGGAATGCTCTAGGTGTAGGTTAACACCAGCTGTCATCTTGGTAGATATTTGACAAGAGATAGTGTGCCCTAGCAGACGATTTTCAAGAAATGGGATTCACCGGAAAGAAATCATTACTACCTCTACCACAAATTGAATCTCCTTGTTGAATTGGCATGGCTCAAATGATTAAGATTCAGAAGATTTTGTTTAAGATTTTGACACTAGTTAGAAGGGGGGCGGAGGATAAGCAGCCTTTGAAGTCCCTGTCATACTAGAACTTTGCCCACAATAGAACCTTTACACTGTAAAGGTAATTTAAAAGATGGCCAAATTTTCAAGTACAGCAGGATTAGGCAGACTACTAAATCCTTGAAGTTGATAATGGTGATCGTCAGTAAAAAGGCAACACATGGTTTTGTTTTTCCAATCATGTACCCCTCTCAAGAGCATGAAAATCCTTTCTTTAATTGCTCTTGCAGGAAATCAGGCTGTGTCTGTGTAGAATCTTTTTTCGCATTAATATGCAGACTGTAGGGGTTTCAATGTATTGGATTGCCCATGGTTTATAAGACACCAGTTTGGATGAATGTTTCTATTTTCTCATAAAGCATCTTCCTTCCATCTTAAATATTGGTTTTCAAACTTTAGCCTCCATTCCAGCATCTTCAGCTGTACAGCTAACTGTTAACTATAAGAACCTTTTGCTTCTTGCAGGATTCTGTTTTGTCTCTTCGCTTTTGTCCCTGTTACCCTGCTTCCGTCTCCTAATTTTATTTCCCTTGGAAACACAGTTTGACCTTTCCAGTAGAGTTGGTGATAATATGAAACCTTTAAGATCATACCCTCACTTCTTCTATTTTCAGTTTTGACCCAACATATGGCTAGACCGACCATTTGGACAGACAAGTGTTGAGTATGGCAGAAAGGCAGGGCAATGAGGAATCGTTTTACCAAATTCAAGCCAAGGAAGTGAAGGTGGATAAGTTATCTGATTTATCAAGGGATGAGAATTCATTTTTCTCTTTCCACTTTTCTGGTGAGAACAAAAGCAACGTACTTTAATGTGCATTTTATTCTTTTCCTAAACTGTCAAAATAGCAATCTGAGTGGTAGGATACTACAAACTTAGGACCAGGCTCGTGCAATCTAACCAGATCACATAGAAACTTAGAAGTGATAAAACTGGAGGACTCACATGGTATAAATAGAATTAATTAAATCAGAATAGTGTAAATTCACAGATATATTATCAATATTCATTTCGACTCTTTCTAGCATTTTTGTTGTTTTCCTTTATAGTTAATATTTTATTACCATTTGTCTACCCATATAACCAGTCATGTAGATCAAACTAGGTTTTTGACTTGACTAGTCACTATCCCTCTTATTATAAGATTCTCCACCCTATGACTGACATTCCAACAACATACCCAATGTAGTCCCACAGAGTGGGATCTAGGGAGGGTAGAGTGAACACAGCCCTGACCTCTACCTCAGAGCCCGGAGGTAGAACGGCTGTTTCCGAAATTCTATTCCCCTTAATCATAGGTGCTAATATCTTTTAAATCCTTTTCACAAAGTCATATACACAGAAGTACACCATAATTCATGTAAGGAACTCTAACTAAGCTTTTATTGTTAGAAAAACACTAGACTCTTAGGAGTTTCTATGGACTAAAGAACCATAATCATTGAGGATTTCAATTTTGACATAGTAATTAATAGTTCTCTAGACTATAGTATAAACCTTTAGAATAATTCTCAGTAAAAATTATCTTGATAACACTTTTGCACTTCATATAGACTCCTTGTATCTTGGATAGGAGTTGAGTCAAACTTCTGTTACAGGTTTAATACTTGATTGTTGCTGTTTCTATGAATAAATTATACTTATCAAAAACAATGTTAGGATTACATGCCACCTTGTACTAGAACTCACCAGAATAATTGACAGTCATCTGAAATGAGTTGCTGGAATAGTGACATTTGCCGTAAAAGGTCTTATTCTTTCTCACAGACTGTTGTCGATGTAGCCAAAGAAGTGTCCTTACAGCCCATAGGGAAATGTTTTTTCTAATTTTAGGGAGAAGTGATATGGTGACACAAATCTCTAGGAATAGATGGTTGCCTGAAATACATCAGTGTGGTGCCTCAAAATGTTCTCTGGAAAGAGTTATGGCTCCTGAAAAAGCACAGTGCTGCCTAAATGATCGCTGGAAGTAAGAATGGTACTTCCTAGAATGATCAATCAGAAAGAGATGAGTAATAAAATCTCCAAATGTATATTCACTTAGGTTTCTACAAATTTCCTAGAAGCCTAATACGCCCAATAAGTAGGAGAAGAAGATGAAAAGATATTCTTGTTGGCACTGGTTGGTAATATCAAGAGGGATGCTTGTATGAGGGAAGTTTTTTTGTTTATATGGTTTCCTATATTTATCATATAATCACTAAGAATATTTTCCATATAATTCTTAATGATCCTCTTAACTTTCATCTATAATATAATCACTAAAATATTCTCTACCATTTAATTATTCTGTTAACTTTGAACAGAATTTTTACTTATTAGAGTGGTGTCTGGATCAATTTGCTCGCACCTTGACTATCTCACCAAAAAGCTTGCTGCAGCCTACCTTACAGATGTCCAGAAATCAGCTCACCATGGTTGAGTAGATATGCGTATATTATGTGTTATAGAAGGCCTTGAACCTGAGATTTTAGGTTGTTAATTCTATGCCTCAATTACTCAACAAGTCCCTTGGTATTTCCTAGAGTATGTCCAACAACATGAAGTGGTTATGATAGAAAGCTTAGCTATGCATATTTTTCTTTGATTAGTTGACTGCAAATTAACCAGTGAAACTTACCCTAACCTCAGAAGTTGGAGTTGCCAATTGATGATTCTCCTCCTTTGTTTTGTTGTATCTTTCAATCACTGACTTCATGCTGTCAAAGTAAATATATTCAGAAGTGTCTTTATTATCTACTTATAAGAAAGGACGTAAATAGAACAATGCAGGTAATATCTTTTGCAGCCTCTTATTAATCTGATGGCTGCAATTCTGGTATTTGATTCCTTTTTCTATGTTTGTCAGTTGAATGGACTTGGGAGTGATAGCACACAAAACGTTTACAAAGTGAATGGTACTGTCTTTAAGGTATGTCACTGAAGTCTGTTTTGCTCCTTTTACTCTACTTTCATGTACCAATCACCAAGGTATGAAATACTCATTAGTTGTGGCTGTTGCCTTCATGCTTAATATTAAAGCAAAACAAGAGAGATATGGTGAACATGCTCTAATGAATATATCTAAGTGTGTTATCTTCATCACACGTTATTTCTGTAGGCATTGTCTCTGTTGCTTCTCAATTCTATACTAGTTATTGAATGTTGAAACATACAACCTGACTTCAGACAAAGAATAACAAGGGGATATTTCAGGATGAAAACCCAAATGTTCAAGTTTTCCCTTACTAAATCATATTGTCTATCCAAACTCCATTCTGTTGACCCGTCTTAGTTTTCAAAATAAGACTCCTTGGAATACCTTCAACCCACCCACCTCACTCAAAAAAAAAAAACAGATAAAGAAGAGAATTACGTGACTAGTATAACATAAATGCATACTAGAGAAAAGATGCATAACGCTTACTGCGAGTTAAGGAACTAGCAGTAGGTGGTTGGGGTAAATAAGGTTAGTATTGGGATCCGATTATTGAATATGATAAAAACCAAAGAGGACTCCAATTTCTTGGGTCAAACTTTTCTTGCCCTCTCTTCTCCCATAAAATTAAAAACAAATTGTTTAGTTGTAGAATGGTAGTAGATAAAATAATACTAACAACAACAATGACATGTCAACAATAGCAAGTTGTTAGCCATCAGTAGGTAATGACTAAATGAGAAATGCTTCATGAGATGATGATAGAGCAAATATGTTTAGACAAGAATGGACATGCTGGCAATCAAGATTGCTGCACGAAACGGTTGGAGCAGCAAATTTCTTGGGTGATTTGCTATTTCAGACTTCTTTCTGTACAACTGGAGGACAGTATTGGGTTACCCCTGTTTTGGGATGTTGGGTACATGCAATAATTTATTTTTGTGAAAGTTCCCTAAGAGGCTGTTTATGGATATATAATGATGATAATAATAATAATAATATTAGAAGTTATCTAACAAGTCTAAAATCTATTCTCAACTAATAGCTTATCACCTCTATAGATCTTTTTCTTCTACTATGCCTAATCGTTAGCTAAGTCTGCATTAACACCATGCATTTATAGGTCTTTCGGGACTTTCTTCCATGTCATTTTAGATTTGCCCATCTCTTTTCAACACTTTCACTTACTATTGTTTCACACCAACGAATTAGTGCATTTGTAAAACATGTTCAAACCATCTCAAGTGAACTTGGATTGTATCTTTAGCGACCCAACATTCAACCACCATATAACATTGTACGTCTTATAGTTGTTCTATATACTTTTTAACTTTCAATTTGGTAGGCATCCTTCTATCACATGTCACATGGTAGCACTTCTTCATTTCAACCATCCGACTTTAATGAGTAACAATTTCATTTGTAATTGAGGCTGTGTCAGGTTTGCACATAAACTGGAACAAGAGTTTCATTTACCCAGTAAACACAATACCAAATATTGAGGACTTAGCTTACAAGCTTGGAGGGAAAGTAGGTGAACTACCAACAACCTACTTAGGAATGCCTTTGGGGGCAAAGAGCAAATCAAGTGGAATATGGAGTGGTGTAATTGAAAAGTGTGAAAGGAAGCTCGTGAACTGGAAGTGTCAATATCTATCCTCAGGTGGCAGACTAACTCTAGTTAACAATGTCCTGGATGCCTTGACATCATACATGATGTCAACATTCCCTATACCAGCCAAAGTAACCAAGAGGTTAGATGCAATTAGGAGGAACTTTCTATGGAAAGGCAGTGAAGATAAGTAGAAGTATCATTTGGTCAAATGGGAGGAGTTGCTAGTTAGCAAGAGAGGGGGTGGACTCAACATTAGAGATCTGAGTGCGCAGAATAAGAGCTTGATGATGAAATGGTTGTGGAAATTTGCCTCACCAAAAGTATCTCTATGGAAGGAAGTAAATAACAGCAAAATATGGCATGGAGGACAAGTGGATGACAGAGGGGGTGACCAGGCCTTATGATTGTAGTGTATGGAGATCAATCAGGAACTTATAGCTACTGGTCAAAGATAGAACAAAATGTAAGGTTGGTAATGGAGAAAAAGTGGCATTCTGGAATGACATCTGGTGCGGACAGGAGACACTCAAACAAGCATTCCCTGAGCTACATAGTCTAAGTCAAGCACATGAAGCATCAGTGGCAGACTTATGGACAGGACAAGGGTGGAATTTACATCTGAGAAGAAACTTAAATGACTGGGAAATAACATCCATAGCAAGATTTCATGACACAATGGCTAGGGCTACCAATCTAATAGATGAGCAAGATAGACTGATATGGAAAGGGGAGAGAAAGGAAGAGTTAACTGTAAGATCTGCATATCGAGAATTGAGACCTATTGAAGAGCAGCAAGCAGGATGGCCTTGGAGAATGATCTGGAGAACAAAAATCCCATACAAGGTGAATTATTTTACATGGCTTTTGGGGAGGAAGTCTTGACACACGAAAATTTGAACAAGAGGAAACACAACCTTTGCTCTAGATGTTATTTATGCGAAGAACAGGTAACCATCTCTTTTTACACTGCAAATGGACATATCAATTATGGCAGATGTTCATTCACAAGAGGAAGATCAAGTGGAGAATCACAAAAGTTCTAAAACGCTGGAATAGTGATGGAAATGCAGGAAAAAAGGAGGAGAGATGGAGGATTGTCCCAGCATACATTTGGTGGACAATTTGGAATGAAAGGAATCAAAGATGTTTTGAAGGAAAGAACAACAATATTCAGAAGATAAAGATAAACTGCCTAGGTCTTTATTATTTTTGGTGTAAGCAAGTAGTAATAGGAAATTCTAAAGATGTTTCTAATGTTATTGACTGGCTGTAATTATAAGATCTTAGGGCTGTTGTAAGTATAAATTTTTGGAGGGGAACTACTCTTTGATGTAGTATACCTGTGGATATATAGAAGTAAATGTTACCTTTCAAAAAAAAAAAAACCCTTACTTTCTAAAGTTTTTCTCCATAAGCCAAGCTTTTGGTTTGACACCCTTGCTAGATTTGTCAATTAACACAAATCATTAGCAAACAGCATACATCATGCAACTTCATGTTGTATTGCATTTGCTAACTTGTCTAGACTAGGGGGCTCATTCTCCTTGGTGTAAACTCATTGTTGTGGGAAACAATTCCTGCAACTATTTTCACGCTAATGACAGCTCCCACACGTCCTTTAGGGCATAACTTCTGGTACTCTAAGCTGCTAACTAGAGACTCAAAAAAATGGACAAACTGATAAGACACTCATTGGTAGATAGATAATGGATGCAACATGAAATATTGATGGTTAATGAGTCAAGTACATTGTTAACTAATCATGCTATCTGCCAAATATACCAGTAAAAATTGAAAAGAAGATTGATGCTTTAATAAGGAACTTTATATGGCAAGGAGATAGAGATGAGAGGTGTTTTAATCTAGTGAATGGAAGGGGGCTTGGGCATAAAAAATTTAAAGCGAACATAATTCAAGTTTACTAAATGAAAAGTGAATAATTATGGAGGTATGATCTAGGAGAACAAACTCTATCAATGAGGGTCATCAACGTGAAGTATGAAAATGGAACATATGTGTATGGAGAACAGTCATAGGTCTATGACCTTTCAAAGCAGAAGTTCATATTAAAGTGGGGGATGGATGAATGATATTTTATTTTTCTGTTTTGGTGTAACGAAAATCTTGCAAATAATTCGAATGTTGTTTAGAAGTTTTAAGTTCTAGAATCCTTGTAGGAAGAATCAAGGATACACTTTTTCTTTTCTTTTTTTCAAATTGTAAATGTGGCACCCAGCACTACCTTCGTACTGAAGTTTATAATATTTGATACCTTCCTCTATAAATGTTAGTGCAAACATACAGTCAAATGAACAAAAGGTTTTTGTTGCCCTATCATCCATAAAAGAGTCGATGCTCCCACGTATCTCTCTTACATTGTTCCTCCGCGACAATAACTTAAATTGTTCCGACATTGTTCATGGTTCCAGGTCTTTGCTGAACCAACTAAGAGAACCTTTGATTGAACGCAACTACAAGAAACAAAATGAGGTGGCGGATCAACTTGCAAAACAATATGGATATAGGATGCATGATAATATAATACATTTTACTGTTTCTCCTTTGTTTGACTTAGCTTTCAAGGCAGACAAGCTAGGAATTACTTCCTATAGAAGCACTACGGTTTGCAGTGAAGCTAAATCGCTGTCTCTGTAATAGCACTACCTTTTTTTTTTACTGGGCAAACATTATGACACGTGTGGTTTTAAACATGTCAAAAAAAAATTGTATACAAAATATGTCGTTAAGGGAACAAAATGACAAGTATTAATTATATTGATCCAAAATCCAAATGTAGAAATGAGTTTAAGGAAATGACAAGTTTTAATGAGTCAGGCTTTTTTATAACGAAGTAGAAGGAAATATTGTTACACAAAATCAACAAAAGGAACAATAAAGTGTTCCACAAAGTGTCCAGTTTTGGGTTTTTTTGTCTCAAAAAAAATTATAATTCCGCTTGATAATTTTATTTTAAAACTAAACTTGAAAATATTTGCTGGAAATAATTTATGTTGGTCATCAGACATTAGTAATAGTTCCTAACCTTTGCCTGTTAAGGTAGAACTTCTGGTCAATTGAAGTAGTTCTACCTGTGGCTTCAAGATGTATTCACGTTTGGGCATGTCTTATCGGCAAAAGATAGAGCTTATATTGATGGGCAATATGCAGAAGTTCTAAATTTTATCTAGTTTTTATCAATTGAGCAAGTTTGCTATCGTAAAATGTCCGACTCCTTTATATCTTGTGGCACCATATCTAATTAAATTCCAACTTTTCCTTATATAAGACAACTTTTGGTCAATTGAACAGGTTAACTATTTTGATAAATATGTAATGGGGAACATATCTAAATTTTTACTTTTGCCTATAAGGCAAAACATCTGATCAATTTAGCAAGTTCAATGGCTTAAAATCTCCTAACATGATGCCTTACGAGGCAAAAGTTATAATTTTCTGAAACGGGGGCTATTTTTTAAAAATAATTGTTCAATGGTACTAAAAAAAATCAAGACCACCCTTTATAGAAGCCTTTTTTGTAAGACTTCTCCTATGGGGATAAAATGTCAAGATCAATCCATCTTAGGTCCAATTCTAAACTTGACCCAATAATTTGAATTGTTTTGATATTACCACCAAACGCGGTAAGTATTTACCTTAACACCACTACACTTTTCTATTCTTGTCAAATATTATCACATGAGAGAACCTTACAACATATGCAGTATGAATTCATAAGTGGAATCTGAGGTAGACAGGTTGTTTTCAATAGACACTCAATTCAAGAAAAGCATTTTAAAACAGGTTTGCAAAATACAAGAGTGAAAGCAGAAGCGAATCTAGAATTTTTAGAATATGGGTGCACTTTGAAAAAATGCACCATTTAGCCTTTTTTGTTCATGGGTGTCAATAAATAATATTATATCAATTATATATGTGGAAAAGGGTCAAAATTGCCCCTGAACTATGCGAAATAGACCACTTATACCCTCAGTTACATTTTGAGATAAAAAATACCCCCACTATTATTCCTAGAGACCACAAATATCCCTCAAAAGTTAACAACCCAAATTGTTAATGACATGGCAAGCCATGTGGGACTGATCTCTCTACCTAAGCTGTCAACTAGGAATTCCAACAATTAGAAATCCTTCTAAAATTAGAAATAAATCTTTTATTTTTAATTACATAAAAATATTTATATTTTTAATTAAAAACCTTTTATTTTTAATTACATAAATATTTACCACTCTTTATTAATATTTATATTTATTGCCGTTAAAAGTTATTTTTTCATCGTAGTTTAACTATTAACCAAGTATATTTCCACTTGATAAATAACTAATATATAAAATATCTAACTTGATAGGATGATTTTTTGTATAACATACTTGTATCTTCTGTATGTATGAGGGGAAATTTACGACTCGATAATATTAACTTTGTTCTTGTTTTTTTGTTGGATTAATACAATTTTAGGAGATTTAGATTTAAAAAAAAGTTAGTCGTAATCCTAGTTGGCAGCTTAGGTGGAAGGACCAGTCACACATGGCTTGCCATGTCATTAAAAATTTGGCTAGTAAACTTTTGAGGGGTATTTGTGGTCTCTAGAGATAACAATGAGGGTATTTTTGAGCTCAAAATGTAACGGATGGGTATAAGTGGTCTATCTCACATAGTTCAGGGGCAATTTTGACCATTTTCCGTTATATATATATACCTAATTTTATGGAGAGACCACGAGCTCAAGTTCCCCATTTTTAGATTATAATCCGTCATTGATGAGTGAAAGAAGCTCTAATAAAAATACCAAGAAAAGAGAAGTATTAAAATAAATATAGTAAAGTTATCTTAGTCTCGTTTTTCTCATTTTGTCTACTAAAATGTCTGTACATGCTAAGCCCATGCTAAGCCTCCTCATTTCTACTACATTCATCTTATGTGAGTTTTGACAGGTCAACGCTCTGTCTTATACAACATAATTGGTCTAACAACTCTGTACAACTTACCTTTAAATTTGGGTGGCACATTCTTATCACATAAGACATCGGATGCGAGCCTTCATTTCATCTACACTTCTCCAATGCACGTGCATTGTTGTCTATCTCCCCACTTCCTTAGATTATTGTCCTAAGATACTTAAAGTCTTATCTATTAGTGATGACTTATAAGTCATCCTCACTTCCATATTTGTCTCATTTGTTACGTCACTGAACCTGCACTTGAAGTACTCTGTTTTAATCCTACTAAACCTTAAACTTTAAGTCTCTAGGGTTTTAGAACTCTGATCTAATGTTAGCTACGACATGTCTTGTCAATCAATACTATGTTTGCAAAAAATATGCAACATGGTACCTCCTCTTGAATATGTTGTGTCAGTTCTTCCATCACCAAGGCAAATAAAAATGAGCTAAGAGTTGATATTCTTGATGAAATCGCATTAAGACTAGGAAGTATTCAAAGTCTCCTCATATATGCCCTTAATCGCTCTAATGTATGCCACATGTACATTTCAAGACTCCAATCATGATCTCCAAATAACCTCCCTTAGGACTTTGGGATGTGCCTTTTTAAGATCAGTGAACACCATAAGTTAGTCTTTTTTCTTATTTCTATAATGCTCCAGCGATCTCCTTAAAAGATGGATAAATTTTATAGTTGATTGTCTTGGTATGAATCCAAATTGATTCTCGAAAATAGACATATTCCTCCTTATTCTCATCTCTACCATCCTCTCACAAACTTTCATTAGTGTAACATATATAGTAGTTTGATATTCCTGTAGTTATTGCAATTTTAAATATCAAGTTTGTTCTTATACAACAGAATCATTTTACTCCATCTCCATTCATCTAGCATGTAAGAAGTTTTTTCATAACCCCTCAGGACAAGTAGCTCTGATAACAAATGTTGAAAAATGGGTTGGAGAAACACTCACAATCATTCAAATTCTTTCTTGAACACAAGTGAGGCAACAATTCTTCTTTGTTCCACTCAACTTGACTTACATAATCAATCATTCTCTTTGAAGATAAGTGGGGAATATTTTCTTCCACCAACTTATCTTACATTTTAGCTTATCATAGCTAGATATTTATAGGAATTCTTATAACATGTACCTATTCAAGTACATGTATCATGACTAGTTCTAAGTTTTTCTTGTTCCCTAATTCATGAATGAAAGCATACATGTATCTTAACATTGAATTCCTAATACATGAACTAAGTAAATTCATGTAGCTGGGATAAATCCAATTTACTTTTTTAACAAGGTTGTCTTCTATTCTTAATCTCCACCATCTCTTAGCTGAAAATAAGGAATGAATATCTTAAAACCAATTCGCCCTACCCCATCCCACCTTTCTCTTCCTCATAAGGATAACACGTTTAATCTCATGAGCTCAATGATATTGCTTTCTTTCATACTGCAAAAGAAATTAGAAAAGCAAGTTTCTATCTTAATGAGCACGGTAATTAAAGGGGTGATGGCAACAAGCAAGTGAAGTGTCTCGGATTGTAAAACATGCTTAATGATGATTGCTTTTTCCCCGTGACAGCAGCTTACCTTGCCAGTCACCAGCCTTGTTCAAAACTTTGATTTCCATGTCAGTAATATAGGCCACTTTCTTCCTACACTGTATAGGGAAAACGAGAACTTTGAATGTTTGTAACCAGACCATGTCCTCAATCTTCCTATACTTCTTCTGTCTTCGTAGTCATACGTATCGAAATTAGTCTGCTATATGTTAATTTCTTGCCATGAAATATCTTGATTATCTTTAAGCACCTTCATGACCATCTTGACTGACCTCTTATCCCTAGGAGTGAATAAAATTAGATCACCAGCACAATAAAAATGGTTAATTCTTGATCCCTGACTGCTTATATGTAGAAGAAGCCATTATAACTGCTCTTGTTATTAAGTTGATTGAAAGCTTTATAAAGGGCTTCTGCAGCTATGATAAAGAAACAGTAGATAAAGAGTCCCCTTATTTAACTCCCCTAGGGAAGTTAAAGAAGTCATCTGTTGTACCCTTTATGATGACTAAATAAGAGTTTCTTGACAACAATTTGTCGATAAATCAACAACAGCTAATAAAGAAGGTCCAGGAGAGCCTGTGACAATAATACCTCCTTTATTGTGTTCCTTTCCATCTATGATTTCTTGGGTTAATAAGACATTTCAAATTATCAGTCTTCCCCTTACAAACCCAACATGATTCTCAGAGATGAGCTTGCGTAAAATGGGGGTCATTTTGATAGACAAAATCTTTGAAATAAATCTTATTTGTCACATTACACAAACTGAATGGTTTCAATTGTGAGATGGGAGAGCTTACTCTAGGGAGATCGACAAATCTACCCAGACATGCACTATTGAATCTAGAAGTGCCGTTGGTCACCTATATATACCTCAATGTGCCTTGTAATAATATCATCAAAGGCCCATGATATATTCCAGCATGCATCTCATTAACTTCTGTCAACCAAAAACTCTTGTTTTTTAAATAACTGTCCGCCCATTAGGTGTAGTTTTAGGATGTGAATGAAAAGAAGCCAAATAATTATACACATTGTATGATGAGTATGCATCTCTACTGCATGAGTTACTGCTAGCCCTTACGTTCATATGGTGCTAGTCTTTAAGCACACTTTTATGAAACTCGACCAATGTGCTTCTATGCATAGACAAGATTAACAATGAGAAGCTGTCTTTG